TTATTATTATTATTATTATTATTATTATTATTATTATTATTATTATTATTATTATGTTTCCCATACCACCTTTATTAAATCTCCCACAGTTCCTGAGCAAATATTTGGTCTTTTATTCTTTGTCCGTACACATACAAAACTTACACAGTAACTTTTAATGGATTCTGGTGAATACCAAAAGTTGTAAAAACAGTATGATTGTTTATAAACACAATAAACAAACACAAAGTAGCTGTCAGAAGCTATTATATTATGAAATACAAATGTCATGATTAAAAATGACCTATACACACCTCGAGTGCCCATTCTTACAGTTTGCTTTGCAGCTTCTTCTTTGGTCCAATGTCACTGCATTACTGGTCAAATAAATAACACTGGGTGGGGACCTGTCACTGGAATGGTTGGAAATAGGGCACTCTGAGAGTTAAACTAAGCAAGAGCACACATGCTTCTTTTTTCCCCTCATATACAGACTGCTTTATATAAAAAGTGCATTGTAAAGATATACACTGAATTGTTTAAAAGTACTATATTCTCCTTTTGTGTGAAGCTGTAACAAATTCAAAGTGGTGTCTTTTTGTAGTGGCAGGCAAAAGTCCATTTTTAGGGCAGGACCGGAAAAGGTGAAGGCCTGCAGCAGGATGCAGAACAGTTGCCCAACAATGTCTTTTCTTCTCACTGTGTTACCATTTTCCAGGGATGGGCACCCCGCATTCATACCAGCCCACAAATGGATGGGGCGTGCGTCGGCCAATAACCCCAAATGTAACTGGCTCTTGTCTGTAGGAACGATAGTATCCTGCAATAGAGAAAAAGTTATTTATAGCTAAAAGCCATCCTCATTTAGACAGGTAAATAAATAGAAGCATCCCCATCCATTAAACTCCTGCACAACAAAATGAGATAATGTGCAATAATGCAATGTGTGAGTAGTACAAAAGCGCTGGTCAAAACCTATACAGGTATGAATGGCATTTCTCCACTGGCACATCAGTGGACATGAGTTTATGGCAAATGACATGTAAGTTGGTTTCTATTGGAATTTGCAAACAATAACACTATTTGAGAATTTATCAAATGCATCTATTTTTATGGAACTGCAGTTTTGTGAACGCATCAGAGACCCTCTCATTGTGGCGCAGAGTGGCATATTCTTTGAGCATAATAGATATGGTGTTTTAGGCAATCCTACATACCCTGTTCTGATGCAAAGGTACTCCTTCCACAATAGTAATAGAAATAGTCCACAACAAATGCACTATTTACTCTTGTTTCAGTAATGTTTGATAGAAAATGACAGCACCGCAGCACAGAGAAGCTGCTAACCCGGAGGTTGTGAATTTGATCATTTCTTACATTGTAAAACTTTCAGAGATAACTGCCATTAACGTGGGAATTAGACAAATCTGAGACCTGTTTCATTTGCTCCAGCACAATGTGACTGGCCTCTCTCCCAGTCATACATATTCCCAACTGGTCTTTCCTTTGCCAGGCCAATCACAGCTGTATATCTAATACGGGGTGGGTTTGATACACATCTGTGTGGTTGCTCAGCACCACATCTCTCTCACACACACACACACAATTCGCCTGATGCCACAATGCTAAACTGCCTTAAACACGCATATAAGAAAATACCCTTAGAAGATTGCATACTTACTAAAATGACCCTACCCTCATAACTACCAGCAATTCATGACTTTAATCTAAGAACTTATGGTTTAATAGGAAAAATCGGGGTAATGAAAAGCATGTGAAATTTGGGCTAAAACACAACACAAAAATCACTTTAACGAGCATTCTTGCAAACAACATTCTGCATCTTTATATGTTGCATGGGTATAAATCAACCAGCTGGTCCTTTACAGAGCCAGAAAGGCAGACGGCATAGAAACAAATGATAAGTAAGGGCTAACAGTGCAGGCTGCAAATTTAAAACAATATGCACAGTCTGTTTTTATTTACCTTGTACTGTGGGCAGATTACTTGACAAGTAGGCTGGGCCTGTCCTTCCATCCCTGTAGGAGTCCACAAACTGGCAGTGGTCCTCTCCCTGGCCAAATGTATCTCCTATACTGTAAAATGGGTCTGTGGGTGAAAGGGAGAGGTATCTTTATTATAACGTTTCCCATTGCTATGGTGGGAGGCAATTCATAATAAATCTTGCCAAATGGTGTAATAATAATGGCAGAGCCAGGCAAACTATAGAAGCGTTTTACCTGAATAGAGCACTTTTCTTTCAGACCTGTTTCTGAAAACAGAATGAGAGGCAGAGCCCTCAGCTTTAAGGCTCCTCTTTTTTGGAACCAGGTCCCAGTTTGGGAGAAAGAAACATTCTCTACTTTTGAGATTAGGTTTAAACTTTCCTTTTGGACCAGGCTCATGAAGGGCCTGGCAGGTTTCTTTGTTCTGTTAAAAGGGAGGTTTTCCTTCCCACTGTCATCTTTCTTATAGCAGGTTGTTTTCTTTCTCATATTGAGTTGGGTCTTTACCCTATAATATAAATGGCCTTGAGGCAACTGCTGATTTGGTGCTATTAAATAAAACTGAATTAAAATTTAATTAAATATTTAATGATGTCCATATGGAAGCAATAGCCAAAAAGAAAAGGTTTAGCAAAGAACAGTAATTACCAATTATAATTGCAGGTCTGTGGCTAATAGCCTTTGTCATTGGTTGTGTGATCACACTTTAGTCGGTGGTGACTGCTACACCTCTTCCTCCATAGAAACAGTCTTTATTTCAGATTTTTAAGCATCAGAAATATATTTACCTCTTAGACTGTCTCCCATGAAGATCTTGTATCTTAGGGAATTGCACAGAACCACACCCACAAACTTCCTGTACCATGTCCGCTTGACATATTGGCTGCCCTTACAGCTGCTGTGGACTGGGTTGAACTTGAAAGAAAAGGGAATCCAGATTGGCTCGCCTCCTGATTGCATTAAGGAATAGAGGAAGAAGAGCATTAAGTTGCATTTCTACCTAAAATGTTCTTTGATATTTTTGCCTTTTGGTTTCTTTTTTTTTTAATATGTCAAGTGTTATATTATTCAGGGATTTATCAAGTGATGAATATGTTTTTCCTACACACAAAAGCATTTAAATGTTTTACTTATTATCATTATTGCCTTTAAACTAGGGATGCAACGATACCAATTTTTACAAACCGATACGATACCGATACTTGGATCTGAGTACTTGCCGATACAGAGTACAAAAACC